CAGCCCCTCCCAAAAGCAGAGCAGAGGGCTGTCCCGGCAGGTGGTCCCCAGTGGCCGGCCCACAGCCGCCTCCCTAGGGCCCGGCCTCGCCCACAGCCCCTTGCTCAGGGTCATCTGAGGACACGTGGTCTCCGCGCACAGGTGCCTTTGATGGTGGTCAGCACGCAGATCCCTGGGGGTGGACACCCGAGCGCTGGGCAGCGGGCTCTGCAGTCACAGGCCAAAACTTAAAAAAGCCGTGTGCTGCCCTGGCCGGTTTGGCCCAGCGGATAGAGCATCGGCCGGACTGAGGGTCCGGGTTCGATTTTCAATCGGGGCACCTGCTGCCTCCTGCACCACCCCTACTGGGGATCGATCTCTCTCTCACTCTCTGAAATCAATAAAAAACATATTAAAAACACTATTGATTGGCTTTAGAGAGAGAGAGGAACGGAAAGAGAAACATCCATTTGCTCAACTTATGTGTTCATTGGTTGCCTCTTGTATGTCCCCTGACCTGGGATCGAACCCGCAACCTTGGTGTACGGGATGACGCTCTAACCAGCTGAGCTCCCCGGCCAGGGCCCGAACCTTCCCCCTTACGTCCAGTCAAGCGTTTGACAGCACTGTGTTCTCTCCCAGCAAGTCGGGTTTTAGGTGGAGAAGCAGGTGTTAGGGTTGCTTTGTGAGTGGCTTTTCACACCGGCTCCCTTTGCTGCTTAGCCGACCAGCCGAACCCACACGGACGGGTGACCTGCGGGCCTTCATGTGTGCCCAGCAGTGGGAGAAACAGGTGCTGGACCACGCGTCCCCCACGCCCCCTCCAGCTGCAGCGTCCGGAAGGCGGGGCGTGTAGGTGGGGTCCCCCTGCTCCGGGTGGACGCCCAGGAAAGCCTTCCTGTTGGGGAGCCTGTGCCCATGGTCGTCGGGCCAGGACCCAGCCCCTGACCAACTGACCAAAACCATCCCGGTCGGTTACCCTTCCTCCTGACGCGTTTAGAATCGCCATGACCGGACGGCAGTTCTGAGCTGAGACCAGTTTCCCTAAGGAAATAAGAATTGGGAAGAACCAGCAGTTCCATTTAAATTCCCACCGAGTTTCTCTTGACCTTGTAGATGTCCTTTTACCAGCTATTTGGCTTCTTGGGTCCAAAACAGAAAATGACTTGCATTTATCCAGTTGGTTTTGAGTGTGGTTCCCCCACAGTGGCCGGCACAGGCAGGTTCAACCAGTTCTGACCCCTGCGTCCGGCTGTGGAGCTGTGCGCCGATGGTGCTAGGAAACACCCTGTGGTCCTGGGGTCTCCTGTGTGGGCTGAACATTTGCGCCCCAAGTCCCTAAGGCGAGCCCTGTTCCTGTTGGGGAGCCTGTGCCCATGGTCGTCGGGCCAGGACCCAGCCCCTGGCCAACTGACCAAAACCATCCCAGTCGGTACCCTTCCTCGAGACGCGTTTAGAATCGCCATGACCGGACGGCGGTTCTGAGCTGAGACCAGTTTCCCTAAGGAAATAAGAATTGGGAAGAACCAGCAGTTCCATTTAAATTCCCACCGAGTTTCTCTTGACCTTGTAGATGTCCTTTTACCAGCTATTTGGCTTCTTGGGTCCAAAATAGAAAATGACTTGCATTTATCCAGTGGTTTTGAGGTGTGGTTCCCCCACAGTGGCCGGCACAGGCAGGTTCGACCAGTTCTGACCCCTGCGTCCGGCTGTGGAGCTGTGCGCTGATGGTGCTAGGAAACACCCTGTGGTCCCGGGGTCTCCTGTGTGGGCTGAACATTTGCGCCCCAAGTCCCTAAGGCGAGCCCTGGCCCCGGGGGCGGGGGGGGGCGGGGCCTGCGGGAGGAGGTGAGGGAGACG